CAAGCCCCCGCAGAACCCCAGCCGGCCGGCTGGTCCCAGCCCTTGGGGGTGCCGTGCCCGATTCGGGCTCTGCAGGTCCCCCCACCCCAGTTTCCCCTCTGCTTCCATTTCAGTTCACGTGTCACCTCCGTGGAGAAGGCTGGTCTCCTCTGGGACCGCCGTGCTCCTCCACTGTCACACTTCTTGACCCTTGATTACTTGTTCAACGTTCAATGTCTAGGTTCCCCCCTCAGTAAGGTTTGTGGGGACTGGGACCTTGTCTCTCATTCATCCCCAGGACAGTGTCTGGCACATAGTAGATATTTATTACCTAATATTAAATACTTAATAAGTATTTGGAAATACATTAATGAGGTTCATTCTCCTATCTGGACCCAAGGCAGACAATGCCCATCCCATCACAGGGGCCTGGAAGAGCTGAACCCACTCCACTGGATGTATCCTACAGCAAAGGGAATCTTATCCCACCACAGGCTCCAGGCCAAGGACACTGAGATGCCCCTACCCAAGGTAGCCAGAAAAACATATACTGTCCAATTCTAAATACCTTAAGCACCTTGCTCTAGAGTCTGGGGGCAATGATTTACCTGGGGGTATCACAGAGATGATGAACATTGGAGCTGGGCCTGAATAGGATGAATAGGAGTTCAATGGATAGAAAAGTGAAGGGAAGTACATCCTAGGTAGGGGGAACAGCACATGCAATGGCATAGAACATGGAAATGCATGGAGTGTTTATTGAAAAGCAAGCAGACACCACCTGACCTCAGAAAGGCAAAGTGTCCATCACGCAAAGTGCCTTTGGGTCCTCACTTTGAGCTACACAGGCCCCTTCCTCAGCAGAGAGAAAGATGGCATAATTCACACTGCACCCTCCCTCCACCTTCCTATGACATCCAAGCCACTGGGTCTCAATGTCTTACTCACAACTGGCCATTGGTAGGCTCTCCTTTCCCAGACACAGCTTCAATCTCCAACCCTCCAACCCTTACCAGCTTGCTCCTTCAGCCTGTTCTCCAAACCATAGAATTCTAGAAAAAGAAAGCATCTCAGAGGCCATTAAACCCCATCTTTGTCAAGACAGGACATATCTGGCCCAGAATGGGGCAGGAGGACCTGCCCAAAGTCTTACAGCAGAGCAGAACTCAAACACATGAGTTTCTCTACAACCCCCAACTCCATACCAGTGCTCCCTGAGTGAGTAGCTAGAGTTCAATCTGCTGGCCTTGCAGGGTGGCTCTGGGATTCTCACTATCAGTACCAAAGTCATCCACACCCCAATGCCACTGGCCACTGCCAGGGGGAGAAGCCTTCGCAAGGACTATATATACTCTTTTCCCCCAAATTGCTCCTGTGTAAGGCTAAACAGTATTCCCCTCGAGTCAGAAACACAGCCAACCTCATAGTGTTTTGTTTGGAGTGTGTGGCCTCCGGGGGCCGACTGAGTGCTTCTGCCATTGCCTGCTGTGAGCGTCACTTCCATGTAGGAAGCGGCCTTGCCTGTCTTATGTCAGGTGGTCAGTGCCTGAACAGTGCCTGACACTATATGGGACAAAAAGATGTCTTTTTCAAATGAATGGTACTGACTGACCTTGATCTCCACTTATTTTCACCCTCTGGGCCTATTGTCTCACCTCTCAGTGGCAGTAACTGCCCAACTTTCAGGTTGTTGTGAGGACAAGGGAAAACATTCATAAAAATGCCTGGCCAGAGCCCAGCACATAGCAGCCTCCATGTTAATTCTCTTCTCCTTCAAATTAGCCAGCACCCTGCCCTCCTTCCATACTCTGCTCACCTCTTCCAGAAAGCCTCCCCTGATTATCTACTAGGCTCCAGTCTTGACATCTGTCCCAGAAACACTTCCTCCCCATACACTTGTCTAGAGTCCAGGTGATATTTCTGGAAACACAGATTCCTGTTTGTTTGTTAACCTTTTCTTATGCCTGAGTCCTCCTGTTAGACAAAGGTTAAGACTCCTTCTGTGGACGACTCCTCAAAAATCATCATCACCGTGGGTATCTAAGGTGTAACCAAGTGAGTTGCTTTCCAAACATAACTTTTCCAAAACATGCCCTTAGCTCAGCATAAACTTAGCTAATGCCCAAGTCTCTCAGCATCACAACCTCAGAAACCTGCTACCTGCTGAACCATTCTCCATAGGTCACAAAACTCTGTTATCTAATTTGATCCTTGAAATGCCCAGTGAAACCAGGGTTTATTACCCATATTTTAGAGATAAGGAAACTGAGGCCTGGAAGAGTTAATAACCTGTTGGCTGTCACATGGCCTGAAAGGGCCGGCCAGGGCAGCAGCTGTCCAGTCAGCCTCACAGCTCAGGTGATTATACTTATAAACACAATTAATAGCAACCCCTTGCAATTTTGTGGTGTCTTCACTTTCGTGTAATTTTTACATTTCTTGTGAGAATCTTGAAAGGACAGAGAGGTCACAGACACATCAAGGCAATGTCCAGACAGAAAGTGACCCCTGTGAGAACGTCCCCACTTTTGCCTGAAATAGTGATGGAACCAGTGAAGCCAGAGAGAATTTGCTTGCCCAGTGTCATGGGGCTTGCTAGCAGCAAAGCCAAGATTCAAGCTCTTATTTGCCTTATTCTGATACTCTTCCCACGTTGTCAGTCAAATTCCCTCACTTCTTTCTGGACCTCATCCCATCTGTAGAATACATTGGTTGGATGAGAATCTTTAAACCTCACCCCATGGTCTATGTCCTTTAGAGAGTCATAAAACAGTACCAGTTTTGGAGACATGATTTGAGTTCAAATCCCAGTTTGGACAAATCACTCACTCACTGTTCCTGGGCCTCAATTTTTTCATCTGCAAACAGGCTCAAGTGAAATCATGGAAAATGTGCTCCTGGCAGAGCCAGGATAATCGATAAATAAATGTCAGATTTCCTCTCTTTTCTAAGTCTGTGCAGGGCAGTGAGAAGAGCAGGGGAGTCATGGAAGACAGGTGTTCAAAATTCTACTCCATGCTCAATTTTCCCACTTTGCAGTAGGGAGTCAGATTAGGGGAGACAAGACCTGCATCTCTGGGTGTCTGGTTCAGAGACTGGGATGTGGGAGACAATGACCTTCCCAGCAAAGGTCTCTGACCTCCCAGAAGTTTTCTGTGTATCTCTCCTCCCCATCTTCCCCAATCTCCATTTTGAACATTTTTGCCTGAAAGAGTTAAGCCTGTTTTGGGTTTCCCCTTCCTGAGCAGCAGTGCCAGTGGAGATTAGAGAGATCACATTTATTTCTCTTAATAAACAGAAAGAAGTTGGCCCAGGCAGGTGACAAGGAAACAATTGGAATAATAGATGGACTTCCTGCAGTGGTACCTGGGGCCACCCCCAGACCTGAGGAAACAACAGCCAGGCACAGGGAGGTGTCTCCCATGCACGTGGGCCCAAATCAGGCTGACCTGCTGCCTGAAAGCCCAGTGCTACCCGATACCAAACACCAGGCAGGAGGAGGCCTAGCCACTGACCCAATGACCCCTAACCCAGGCTGCTAACGCAAGGACCTACAGGGTTGGCTTTTCCAGCCTCTGGCTGCTGGATGGTCTCCCAGGGGAAAAGAGTCCACTACCCTGGGGTACACCACTTGCCTTCTATCTCCAATCCTGACAGTCTGAACACAATCCATCCTGCTGCAATTCTGACCCATGCCCTCTTGAGTGAGATGGGGATGACTTCAGACTGAATTCCTAATAGGACAGAGCCCTGGGATGGATTTCACGCCCTATTGAAGGAAACACCCCTCACCCTAACCATCCTCAGGGCCTGCCCCAGCACCCTGACTTCTATTTGTGGCAGGGCCGCAGGGGAGCAGGACCTTATCCAAAAGGAAGATCAGGCCGGATGCAATCACACAAGAGGCTTTTCACCCTCTTCCTGACTCCTAAAGTGTTCCTTCTAACTCTCCTCCAGAGGTGGCTAAAGGACACGGGGAGGGTAAACACAAGTGGAATGGGATGGGCCTGCGCACACCACCATTTCCTCACCTCAAGCCCTGCAGCAGCACAGGAAAGGTAGAATTCCAGCATGGCAAGCCCCAAGGGAGCCCCACCCTTATGCGGAGACTCACGCCCTCTCCCTCAAAAGGGAGACAGAAACAGTGAGGGAAATGAGGGAGAACCAAGCAAGTGGCCAAAAGAAAATTGACCCCAGACAGAATGGGCCAAGTCAGCCTCCTCCCCCACTTCTCCTCTGATTGCTCACCCACCAGGCCAGAGGGTGCCCAAACGCAGAGAATTAAACACTGTATTTTAGGTGGCCACCGTAGCCCAGGCACAGCGTTTCCATGAACTTGGGCCTCAGTTTCCCCCAGCTATAAGCACACCTGCAACCCTGGCATTTTCTGCAGGGACTTGGGGAAGGAATGATGGGGAGGGGCAACTAGTTCACAAGGTGAGTTCACCACCCCAGGAGGTGGATATTTGCAGTTGCCTGCCAAGTGAGTGGTGAGAGGGGTCAGGTGGGAAAAACTAACACTGTTAAGAACCTAAAGCATGCTATCTCCTTTGTGGGGCTGGACACCCATATCTACCTCGACGACTGAAACACCTTTTGAAAGCAGTTGACCTTCCAGACCCAGAGGGACCCCCCACCAGAGCTGCAAGGCCACCTGCCCCTCCCATTGGCCCCAGGCCAGAGTCAAGTCTCTGACCCCCTGACTCAGCAGAAGGCTGAACCTCCATGAGCCAGGGGGAGGGGGTATTGCCTCACTGTCCCCAGAGCCAGCACTTCCCGCTTAAGCCAGGGGATCCCTGCCCCAGCAGGGGGTCCCCACCCCTAGAATAGGGCAGGTTGAGTCTGGAAAATTATGGGGGAGCGGCGCAGATTGGGGGTGTTCTGGCTGAGCCCTGGACTCTTCGCAGCCCAGGGCCTGGGGGGGGTCACCCCCTCCAACACGCCGCCGACCCTCAGTGGAGCCACCCTGGCCGCGCCCTCGGCGCCGCCCGGCGCGGAGCCCAGGTGCCCGGCCACCTTACCTCTGCCTTTACCCTTGGCCTTCCTGGCCTTGTCATCGGCCTTCTTGGCCCGGGGGGCGGCCGACTCGGCGCCCTCGGCCCCCGCCGCCTTCTTCTTGCGCCGCTTGCCCCGCAGCCAGCTGAAGGCGCGGCGGAGGCCGGACGCGCCGGAACGGGACTTCTTCCTGCGCGGGGGGCCGCCAGGGCCCCCGGGCTCTTCGGCCGCAGGTGCGGCGGGGGGCGTGCGGGTCGCCATGGCGGGGCGGGCGGCGGGGGTCAGGCCCCCTGCGGCGGGGCGCCCATGCGCGGGGGCGGGCGGCCAGCCGCCGCGGGGAGACGCGCCCGAGAAAAGTTTGGGCGCGGAGGGAGAGCTGGCGGAGGGCGCGCGGGCCGCGGGAGCGGCGCGGGAGGGGCCGGCCGGCGGCGGGCGGGGCGCGGAGGCCGGCCCGGAGGGAAGGCGCCGGGGGCGGGAGCGGCCGCGGGGCGGGACGGCGCGGCCTGGCGCCCCTCCCCGCCCCCTGCCGGCCCGCAGCCGCTGAGGGGGCTGAGGGGGGCGAGGGTCGGTCCGGAGGGAAGGCGGTCTGAGCCCCCGGAGTTGCGCGAATTGCCCGAGACCGAGAGGGCGGGGTCGCGGGCTTGGCCGGGAGGGGCAGCACTGAGGTTCGGTTCCGGCGGAGGCACCAAGGGGAGTTCGGTTCGCCAGAGGGAGATGAGAGGCGGGGCGCTCTGGGAAGGGGAAGGGAAATGCCGCTGAACCCCGAGAGCTTGCTCTTCTGAGTTCGGTCAGGGAAGCGAAGGGGGATCCTGAAATTCTTTCCAGGAGGCTCGAGAGACTGAGGCTTCAGACGCACCTGAGACCAACAGCGGGCCTTCCTTGGAGTTGCCCCTTCGCTCCCTTCCCTCCCGCGCCGCGCCTTGCCCCAGCGTCCAACAATCCTCAGTGTGGAGCTGGGTTTCACATGCCTCTCGGGTTCCTGCTTCACTCTTTGGTATCTGGGATAAGGAGAGCCATGCCTCAGCTTACCCTTCGGCTAGGCTGTAGGGCCCCAGTGCACCCCTACCAAGGTCTGGATTTCCCACTGAGATGGGCAGTACTGCTTAGGGCTGATCTTGGTCCTGCTGGGCTCACAGTTTATAAGCTGCTCTGAGATCTGTAGGTGAGAAAGCCCTGAGGAAGGGCTTTGGGGAAAATGTCTCTTAAGAATCATGAAAATGCTATGCAGATTTTCTCCAGGCCTCTGACTCGTTGTTATAGCTGACCAAGTACTTTTATATCGTCTGATCTTGCAACAAGCTATGAGAGAAGCAGGGCAGGGAGTATTACCCCAGTAGTACAAAAGGGAAACTGAGGCCAGGAGAGTCAGGAGGGACTACTAGGTGGTCAGCAGCAGAGAAGGCAAGAACCCAGCAATCTAGGTCTTACCTCTGCCTGGTTCCAAGGGCTATAAATTGCCCTGGGTCCCCAGAAAGGCACTGTGATGCTAACTCCACCAGTGAGAGCTTACCTACATCACTCAACCTCACACTGGTCACATAGCTTTCTCCTGATCCTTGTCTCCATGAGAGCAGAGACCTGTTTGTCTGGGGGCAGCCAGCCCAGTCAGCCCTGGCATAGTGTGCACAGCACTCACTCTAATGATGCACAATGACTGGAGTGCAGAGTTTGACCTCCCTAACCTGCCTTAGTCCCCTGAGTGTCCCCAGGGGCTCAGCTGTGGCAAACCTGGGGGGCCTGGGGCAAATCACACTGCCCTTGCTGGACCTCAGTTTCCTATCTAACCACCATTCATTCAGATCCAGCCCACAATCCCAGAGCACCCATTCTGGGTCAGGTACTGTGCCTCACACAGGGATCACACTGCTGGACCCTGTCCTCAGGATCTTCTCTGCCCAGCCCAGAACTAGCCTAAGGACACTGCCTCTCCCTCATTTGGTAAATATCAAAGGAGAAGTTTTATAGGCAGGGCTGAGACATGAAGAGAGCAATGCTCAGGACCTTGGCCTATGGGATAGTCTGGATGTACTGGGTAAGGAAGAGAGAGGAAGGCAAACACACTCTGGCTTTTGGAACGGGTTATCAGGAAAGGAGTGTTGGTCAGGTCTGTCCCCTACCAACCTTTCAGCACCTCCTTCTTCCCAGTGGCCAGGACTGACCACATAGTTTGCAGGGCCCAGTGCAAAATTAAAATGCTGAGCCTTTTGTTCAAAAACTATTAAAAGTTTCAAGAAGGCAACAGCAGAGCATTGAACCAATCCTGGGGCCCTTCTGAGAGCAGGGCCATGTGTGACTATGCCCAGAAACTTGGCCCTGCCAGTGGCTCATATTAATTCCTCAGCAAAGGTTCCCCTCAAACCACAAACCCCAGGAGTCAACCCTAGATCGGAACCCTGATTCGGAGGTGGGGAGAGGGAGTCAGGGAATGAGAAGAGGTCAGGGTTATAGCCCCTTCACTGCTCCTAGGTCCCAACACCCAGATGTTTTCACTTCCCATCTCCAACCTGGGCTACCCTCAGACCAGCAGCCCCAGCTTTTCCTGTGGTTGCCTGGCCTAATGAGACACCCAGAGAGGACTACCTGGGAATGGCTAGCCTACAACCCTGCTCTCTGGATTCATCACTATGTCAGCTCAGCTTCTTTTCTTTGATGGCTCTATGGGCAGCTAAGAAAACTGACTTCCTAGTAGTCCCGGTTGGCAGGGTCCAAAGTCCATCCTGGAGCCAGTCTGTCACCTAACCAGGCAGGAAGCTGCAACCCCAGGGAGGAGCTAACAAAACTTGGGGACCCTCCAGCTTTGTCCCCTGGGTTTTTGGAAAACCCAGGACCACCCTGACATGCCCTCACACTCATCCAATACTTCCCCACCTCCTAATCCTTGGAAGACCTGCCTCCCACAGGCTCCAGTTTTGTAGCCTGCTAGGCCTGACCTCTTCCCCTCAGATCCGCACTGGGCAGCCAGGACAAGGTGTCACTGAGCCTCCCTCATTTTACAGAAAACACCAAGAAGGGGAAGAGCCTGTAAATTACAGCCAGAGGTGAGAGCACCTGTGGCTTCCCTCAATTCTTAGAGCAATTGGGTCAGAATTTTTGTGAAGGGCGGAGCAGTTCTGCAAAGTTGAAGACATTGAGAGATTGTTATTCCTGTTCCTTGGACAAAAAGCCTAAGGAGAGGTGGAGTGACTTGCCAACAGTATACAGCTGCCTCTGGGCAGAGGTGGAATTCAAAACTGATTTGTGTTCATATGTGTGTTTGTGTGTATTTCCTAATTGAGCACTTACTTTGTGCCAGGCACCCCCTAACCTCACCCCAGCTGCTTTCAAGGATTGGCAGTTAAGATCCTGGAAAAGAGAATAGTTATCCTGGGGCCACAGCTGGGCCTCTAAGAGCCTCCAGAAATGTTCATCTTAACGTCCACTTTGAGTGCACCTGCATGCATTTTCTGGGGGAAAGTTTCCCAGCTTTAAACAGATTCTCTCAAAGGTTCCTGTTTCAGAATGAACTAACAATCTACCTTTGGATCCTTTTCACTGCAAGAAGATAGGACGGGGCTCCTTGCATCTGATGCCCTCCTCTTCTCTCCTCCCTGAGAGTGGGGGCACTCCCATCTCCACAGTGGGCATTCCAGAGTCCCCTACTCTGTGGCTCCCTGGCATTTGTGGCAGTGTGTTAACATTGCAAACCACCTCCCTGCTGAGGTCCTTTGATCCTGCCAAGCCTAATTCTATCCATTTTCCCTGCTGGGTTGAGAGGGAAACTAACCAAAGAGCTAGTGGAGTCTCATGGGCTCCCCACTCGGAGTTGGTGCCAACTCCTAGGAGGGTAGGAGAGGGAAGGAAACTGAGGTGGGAGATGATAGAAGGAGAAGTAGCTGTGGCCACTGCCCAGTCTCCAGTGTGGAACAAATTCAGATTCCCTTCAGTCCTTCAACAGATGTCTCCTGATCACTAGATCTATGCTCTGAGCTTCCAGACTGACCAGTTTTTCTGTGATCAGATGGCCAGTTTTTTTTCCAACTTTCTATTTTAGCAGTAGACCTTCCATTTTTCTCCTCAAACAAAAGCCACCCAAATTTTATCTGATAGAAAAAAATGGATAAAAGAATGTTTACAAGTATAAATTTACTTATAAGTCAAAACTTACAACCTTATTTAGCACAGAATAAATCAGCAGGAACAATGACAACATTCTGATGGACTAAAATTTTGAAATCTGAGTTATAGGTGATGGTTATGGTTTTAACTGAGAGTCAACATTCAATTTATCATGAAATCTGGTTCTTGGTTTAGTAATCAGAAAATAGTGCGTGTCATAGACAAGCAGGGGCAAATGATAAGAGTTTTAAGAACTTGGCAGAAATATCAGAAGAAGCTTTAGTCTGAGGTGTGCACAGAAATGAGTTATTCAGCAAGCCCAGCTAAATGGCTTGTCAAAAGCTAGCCTAACCTGGTTCTCATCACAGTCCTGGTGCTAACTTGCTGGGTGTCCTTGGGCATGACACTTGCCCTCTCTGGGCCCATTTTCCCACCTGAACATCTGATTACACCAAGGAAAGGAGTGTGTGTGTGGATGTGTTTGAATGTGTCGGGGGTGGGGGTGCAGCACACATAGGCGGAAGCCCCATTGCTCATCCCAGCATTGGATCTGAGGAAGGGGGCACAGAACCCCTAAACTGCCCAAGTTCAAAGGCAGAGGCAGGTTGCTATGGAGATGTGCTTTGTTTCCCAACTGTCTGGCTGCATCTGACAAGCACAAAAAGCTGAGCCAGATGGACACTGACCTAGGCCAAGAGAGCAGGCATTTCCTGACCCCAGGATCAACAGGGCTCACTGCTTTCCAACAAGAGGGGTTCAGTTCTCAGTTCTGAGCCCCAAAAGAGGGGCACAACCAGCCTAGCCTGCCAGCTGATAAGGTTTCATGTAGGAGATTGCTGGGTGGGGCCCTCAAGGTATTTTCAGACACCCACTCCACCACTCCTGGGCAGCAAGGTTGGCCCTGTGCCCAAGCTAGGAGGGAGACACCCACATTCAAAGCCTTCTGGAAGCTGGGGGAGGGGTCAAACTGTGTGGGCAGAGCTCCCTGACCAGGAACAAAGGGATACAGCTATATGTGGATTCTCAAAGACCCCCCAACCCCATGCACACAGGGGCCTCCAAAAACAGACACCAACCCAGGTTGGCACACTCCATGTACACCATTTCACAGTGGCATACCCATACATGGATCCACACACCAAAACACAAAACCACATACACATCAAGATACCCATAAACACTCAGGCACACTAAGACAGACTGACCTCTAAACACATATAAACACAGAGACTCAGACATACACTGAAACACA